CCTTCTTCTTGGTGTCTGTTAATCCTTATACTCCTCAGTCCTCCAGCAGCACTCTCTCTCACTCTCAGCTCCTCACACACACACCACAAACTGAAGTGAGCTCCTTTTTAAACCCAGGTGCCCTGATTAGCCTGCCTTAATTGATTCTAGCAGCTTCTTGATTGGCTGCAGGTGTTCTAATCAGCCTGTCTGCCTTAATTATTTCCAGAAAGTTCCTGATTGTTCTGGAACCTTCCCTGTTACCTTACCCAGGGAAAAGAGACCTACTTAATCTGGGGCTAATATATCTGCCTTCTATCACTGTCCTGTAGCCATCTGGCCTGACCCTGTCACAGTGGATAGAAAGCTGGCTAGACCATCGGGCTCAACGGGTACTGATCAATGGCTCCATGTCTAGTTGGCAGCCGGTTTCAAGCGGAGTGCCCCAAGGGTCGGTCCTGGGGCCGTTTTTTTTTTTATCTTCATTAATGATCTGGAGGATGGCGTAGACTGCACTCTCAGCAAGTTTGCAGATGACACTAAGCTGGGAGGACTGGTAGATACGCTGGAGGGTAGGGATAGGATACAGAGGGACCTAGACAAATTAGAGGATTGAGCCAAAAGAAACCTGATGAGGTTCAACAGGGACAAGTGCAGAGTCCAGCACTTAGGACAGAAGAATCCCATTCACTGTTACAGAGTAGGGACCGAATGGCTAGGAAGCAGTTCTGCAGAAAAGGACCTAGGGGTTACAGTGGACGAGAAGCTGGATATGAATCGACAGTGTGTCCTTGTTGCCAAGAAGGCTAACGGCATTTTGAGCTGTATAAGTAGGGGCACTACCAGCAGATCAAGGGACGTGATCATTCCTCTCTATTCGACATTGGTGAGGCCTCATCTGGAGTATTGTGTCCAGTTTTGGGCCCCACACTACAAGAAGGATGTGGAAAAATTGGAAAGAGTCCAGCGGAGGGCAACAAAAATGATTAGGGGGCTGGAGCACATGACTTACAAGGAGAGGCTGAGGGAACTGGGATTGTTTAGTCTGCAGAAGAGAAGAATGAGGGGGGATTTGATAGCTGCTTTCAACTACCTGAAAGGGGGTTCCAAAGAGGATGGATCTAGACTGTTCTCAGTGGTACCAGATGACAGAACAAGGAGTAATAGTCTCAAGTTGCAGTGGGGGAGGTTTAGGTTGGATATTAGGAAAAACTTTTTCACTAGGAGGGTGGTGAAGCACTGGAATGGGTTGCCTAGGGAGGTGGTGGAATCTCCATCCTTAGAGGTTTTTAAGGTCAGGCTTGACAAAGCACTGGCTGGGATGATTTAGTTGGGAATTGGTCCTGCTTTGAGCAGGGGGTTGGACTAGATGACCTCCTGAGGTCCCTTCCAACCCGGATATTCTATGATTCTATGTGATGAGGCTATGAAAATAGTTTTGGTTAGTTGGTTGGTTTTGTTTTGTTTTGTTCAACAAGCTCTTCAACAAGTTTCCAGGCAGAGGTAGCAAGTGACAGCCTGGCTGAATTTTTCTCCATCTATTCAGACAAATAATCATTGTACATGGACTGATTCATAACTTGATATAATAAAAATTACTGATTATTTTAAATTTAACTCAGAAAAAAGAGAACAGAAACAAAAAGCAGTTCAGTTGACCTGTGTAATATGTATTCTATTGGAAACTTTCCAATTACTTGATTCTCAGCCAACATCTGACAGTGCTTTCTACTCATAATCCTAAATGATCATGCAGTATGTGTCTACAGTACACCGCATGCTTGTTAAGGAACATTGGAAGCAGTTACAAATTGTGAAATGAAACTTTATGGCGGGATCAAGTGGAAGTAGAAAACTATCTTAAATACAAGTCTCTCTTAAAACAACAAAAAAGGCACAAGAAGTTGCTTGTTTTTTGTAAAAGAAGGAACATGGATGTGGGTGCAATTAAAAATGACATTTTAAAACTTTCATTTCTGAGCAAGTCCTCCAGAATCACTGGGATTGAACAAACAAGAGAAGAAAGGGGTTATCAGAGATTAAAAATAGGAAAAAAACTCTGTGTAGGGAAAGAAGTGCAACAGACATTTTGTTAATGCAAGTCAGTCTACTTAGGAGATTAGCTCTGAGGATCTCATTAACATGCAGAATGTTACCTCTAATGCTTTTGTCTTTTCATCCTCTCTTAGCTTATGCTGAAGGTGTTGTTCTTCAAACATATTTCGTAACTCTTTTTCTTTCGAATGTTCATTCTGTAGGTCTTGGAGTGCAACTCTCAGATCTTTTTCTTTATTTTCCAGTTCAGAACTGCAACATTCAGCAAAGTTACAAATAACACTTTTAGCTCAGTTCAGAATGGAAAACTTTTTAAATATTATTGTTTTGGAAAGAAATCTTTTCTTCAGTCTTTTTAACCTTTCTTTCCATTGAAGCAGGAGCAATTAAGTCACTTTGCGACTCCACTCACAACACAAGTGGGATACATTTTATAATTTTGTTAGTTGGCTTACGGTCTCTTCTATCTTTTTAATTTTTGCTCTTTAGCTGTGCCTTTAAAGTTAACCCCCTTCCTATTTTAACTTCTGAAAAGGGAGCAGTCAGCTATCCTCAGCATAACTAGAAATTATAGCAGCTGTTGATAAATAGGATAAGCTCTCTTTCCTTGTGGCAGAGGAACCCCGGTGCTATATGGGAGGAAAAAATCCACTAGTGTGCACTAGGACTACAGGGGAGAGAGAAAACAGGCCCAAGCCATGATGACCAGGCCACTAACTTTGCCAAGGGAAGTTGCCTGGCTCTAACAGACAGACTAGGGTCATTGGGGAAGGAATGGATAAGAGCTGGAAGTAGTAGGCCAGCAAGGTCAGGGGTTAGAAGGAATTCTAGTCTCACCAAGATACACATTGTATGGGCAGAGACATTGTATCATCAGCTGCAACTCCCAAACTTGTCAGTAAAATTTTCAAGTTTGCACTACTGAGCAAAAATCAACAACAAATTAGCAGCCAGTAAACATTCAAAGTAAATTATTTCATTAAACTCTACTTCTGTACAGATTGGCAGAAGTTACCGTTTCTTCATTCCCCTTGCATGTCAGAGGATTCCAATCCATTTCTGGATTTAACCAACACAAGTTCACTACAGATTGTTAATGTAGCTCTCAAAAAAGTACTTCTTACCGAAGCTGGTTTATTTCCCTCTGAAGCTTTTGCAGGGATTTTTGTAGACTTTCATTCTCTTCTTTGCTTTCATAAAGCTCTGATTTCAAGTCCGATACTGCAGATTGCTCCTGCTTCAGGAGTTCATGCATCTCAGAGGCCCTCTCCTGTTCCTCACTTAGAGAGTTCTGCAAGTCACTAGCTATGGTTTTTTCCTGCTGAAGTTTATATTCTAATAATTCAGCTGGGAAAACAAACAAAGTCCATTTGTATTATAATATATTTAACAACTCTGTTCCCAATTATATGGGTTTAAAAGTACAGACAAATATGTGGACCATGGCTATACTGTTCTTCCTGATCCTGTGCTAATAAATAACTCAACTTTTCAAACATAGTTTAAATAAAAAACATGGAAAGGATTATACAACTTCTGTTCTACTGTTAGTCTCTCACTCAGCTTTCCCATTCGTTTTGGCTTTGATTGGTTCATCAGAGAACTGGCTCCTCTCTGGCTTTTAACTATTTTGATAAAACAATAATTGCAAGCAGCCACTTATCTCCTGCTTTTATAACCCACTTATTAACATTTCCATTTTCCAATATACACAGATAGACACACCAATATGGAGATTTTTCTGAAAACCCCTAGTTGTTGCTCTCTATTCTTAAGTTTTCTACCTTCATACATTCCTTGACATCGAAGTCGCCCCCAACTTCATCTTTGCCTAAGATAAACCAAAGATAATTCACCTCTATTTTAAACTTTTCAAATACAGCCTTTTCTGAACCACTGCTATTTGGACAATCTGCACTCCCATCCCCACAAGAAACCCTAATGAGTTCACAAAATGGTATCTGATGGCAGAATTCATTTCTCATCATTTTTACTGCACTTTCCCCCCTCTCCCCTCCTTTTATTTTGTTGGTGTGAGTGAGAGTGGAAGAGCAGATGGAAAGTGTTTCCTAGGTGCTACCTTTCCTCCGAAGTTGGTGTTCTTGTTTACTCCCACGATCCTCTGCATTCGTAAGAGTTTCTTGTAGCTGCTGCAGCTTCTCCTGGTTTTGAAGATGTGTTATTCGTAGCTGAGCTCGAAGGTCCTGTATTTCGGAAAGTAAGCTGTTCCTATCAGAAGACAGAAGGTGCTCTAAAACTATCTGCTGCTGTTCTTCCTGAAAATAGACCAAGCCCATTGCAGACATTAGGGGGATGCAATGGGGAAACAAAAAGACAGTAACTTGTAAGTAATATTAAATTCCCAAGCAATTCTTCCCACAACATAAATCCGAGATTCCCACAGGTCATGCTCCCCTATATAGTAGGTCAAATTTTATTGAAACAATGAAGAAAAGTAATTTAAGATGATCAAACTCATACCCCATTTTATTAACTCTCAAATATTTAATTAAATAAAAGAATGCACTTTATTGGTTTCCCTAATAGGGTGATAGTTATTGCAAACTCTCTGGCCTGATGCTAACCTATAAGCGTGAAGTTATCCAAAATCACATCAGGACTAATTCAGCTATGAATTTTGCCAAGGGAACATTTGTGTAGCTAGGAGTAGATGTCTGCTTTCATGTGAAGCACCTCCTTCCCACAATCACAATCTCCTAAAGACTAACTGATAAACACTACAGTCAGTAGATCTCGATGAAATGTAGAGAAAAATGGGAGCCAAAACAAAGCCTGTATAAAAACCCATTGCTCTTAACTTGTTTAGATTGCAGTACTAGATTTAAGAACATAAGAGATGAAACTGAAAAACGAAGGAAGCATTCGTGCATTATGCCCACAAACATGGCCTCCAAACCCAGGGAAAGAAAGTGGCTGATCTGTAAGTGTTAATACTCCAAGGCGGTCTTACTTGTCGTTTCACAATATGCTCCAGTTTTTCCACTAATGAACCTTCATCCCCAGAACCAGGATTGCAAAGGTGTGACTGCAAGTCAACTTGAAACATGTTCCGCTCCTTCTCTAGCACACTCTGAACTGCCTGGAGAAGTTCTCCTCGCCAGTCAAAACAAGTATCTGAAGATTCCTACAGGAATAGAGTAAATGTATTAGCATCTATACAAAAAAACAGGTATTTTAAGGGAGGTACAACAGACTTTATCCTGGATACCTTGTCTCCTCTATCTTCCACTTTGCTAAGGTAATCCTTCAATGACTGTATTGCATCCAGCAAGGTTAGTCCTTCTTTTCGCCATCCCTCGGCTGCAGCAGACTGCTGAATGCTTTTTTGATCACTAAGAGGAAAGGGATGTTCTGACAAAGCCAGTATTCTGCGGCTGTCCTCGTACACCATCTTCAGCACAGACTGAAAAGGGACAAAACATTTTGTATAAACTGATGTTATAGTACCAACAGAATCTAAAATGCTAAAAGATCCAGAAAACATTTTGGAATTCATGTTTCTGCAAATTAAGTTTAAACATAAAAACATGATCTTATATTCAGAGTGTTTTCTAGCAGAAGGAGCGGTCTGCACTATTAACTTTAAACAAATACACAGAGATGAAACAGAAAAAAATATAATATAGATTGTAAGTTAAGAAGAGGAGGTTACTCACCTGTAACTGGAGGTTTTTTTGAGATATGTGGTCCCTATGTATATTCCACATATGGGTGCACATGACCACCATACACCAATGCCCATTAACCAGCACGTGCGTGGTGTCCCCTCGTGCTCCCAGCCAAGGGTATTATAGATAGTGTGGGTCGACGACTCTCCAATCTCTCTCTTACTGTCCTAGAATGTAGTCCGAAGCAGAGAGGATGGAGGGCGGGTAGTGAAATATGGATAGGGATATGGCTAGGGACACACATTTCGAAGAACCTCCACTTACACAAGCAAGGAACCTCCTCATCATCTTCTTCGAGTGATGGTCCCAATGTGTATTCTACACGTGAGTGATTCGCAAGCAGTGATAAGAGCAGAGGTGGGTGCAGGGATGCCAACTGAAGGGCAGTCACGGCTAAGAAATATTTCCAGATTCAAGTGCATGGCACGCATGCGCACCCACGTGTGGAATACACTTAGGGATCATCACTCAAAGAAGAATATATTTGTATTAGTATTTTTAATATGTAAAAGTTATAGAAGTTAAAAACATCAAAGGCCTAGGGATAAGGAAATTAGAAGTTAAGATTCTCACATCAATCTTTATTTTGCTCTCTTATATTCACCCTCTTTAAATATATGCAAAAAGACACTAAGTTGCCATGTAAAATATATGCCTACATGAAAAAAACTAAGTATGAATTAAAGCAATACAATATCTTATCTTAAATTTTAGTTTCTAGACAGAAGTCAAGGACAATATTGTCTCATCCACTCAACCTCTTAGAAGCTAGAGATGCATCTTTTTATAGAGCCCCATTCACCCAGCCAACATTTTAAGTACTATTGTTGGTATTGTGGTAGCACCTAGAAGCCCAGTCATGGACCAAGACCTCACTGCACCAGACACTGTACAAACACATGACAAGAAGATCGTGCCTGTCCCAAAGAACTTATAATCTAAGTATAAAACAAGAGACAACAGGTGGATATAGACGAAGGTGGCACAAGGGAACAATGAGACAATGCCGGTTTGCATGAAAGACAGAGATCATAGCACACCAGCTGCCTAACAATTGTCAATTTTTTTGTAGGTAGAATGGGGGCAGGAGTAGATATCTCAATAGCATATGAGACACACAATAGCTAGTCATAAGGGCCCTGAAAGTAAAGGCAAGAAGTTTGTTATATACAAATCTGAGACATGATCTCTACATAATGTTACAGATCCACCCTGTTTGACACATTTATCAAATAAAGACCCTGCAAGCGCCAATTTATACTGCCTGGTATTATAAACCTTGTGAAAGTCACACGGCGCATGCACATTCTCCTTAAGTAGAATTTGAAGATATCAAACCCTTGGTTACCATATTAAAGTTGTCAAGTACATTTATAAAAAGTTTGGTGTCTTGGGCACTCTGCTACTACAATCCAGTTGCTAAACTACCTACACAGGTCCAAATCCTGAAACCTCTCTTACATGGGAGTTCGAAACGCTTTGCATGGATTCCTGTACCTGCTGCTCAAGATGGCGTAGGGACATGCAGAACCTGTGGGTGGGTGGTAGGAATGCTGTCCCTCCTTGGGGGAGATAGGGATCTTGGTCTCAACAAACCAATCCTCCTTGGCTGACAGCTCTATTGTGAGTTCAGACTTTGTCCCTAGGCCAGTTAAGACAAGCAACAGCCAACTTTCCAATAATTTTCAGGCAGCATAGTGCCTACACCTAACATCAATGTCCCTCCTACCCACTAGCAACTGTACTCTTAGTACAGCTTCGACAGATACTAATGGCCTAAACTAGTGCATTTGGCTGCAATGCATGCTATGTACCTATGTGATTGAGATGAAAAACTGCACAAACTTGGCGAATATTTCAAATACAACAACGGAAATTTCTGGCAATAAACCAAAAATTATTAAAACTGTTGTCATGCAATTAACCCCTATTGTCATTAAATAGGGGGTCCAGTGAAATGAGTCATGAATCTAGATGTGATGGTCTCGACTTAATTTAACAGATTACACAAAAACAGCATCCCCAAAACATTTACAGCCTTAACAAGCCGAACACCGGTAATTATTTCCGGTGTAATTATCATGCTGAAACATCTTTCTCAATATGAATTCCCTGCCTCCAAACTATTATATGATGTACAGATGTTTCCTTGTCTCATTCCAGGGAAGGTCATTTGAAATTTAAAATAAATCCTTTTATAGGTTATTTTAATTAGAAATATCCTACTCTGGATATAGAGATATTTGTAGTTGCAACTTACTTTTGGAACATTAATATAAGCAATTCAAAAGCATAAATATTTAAAACAATTAATACATGCATCTAAATCTCTAGCTCCTCCGGTGGGTCCCATGCCACTACCACTGAGAAACCAACAAAAGCTCCTGCAGCTGTGAGTCTCTCTTCTGAACAGGTCCAAGGACATAACCATAGATGGCAAGACATCCTGCCTATTCCCTTCTGAGTCCCCAGCTGAGGTTGATCAATCTTTGATCTGCTAGGAGGGGGAGGGTGGAACAGACTGCCAGGTCTGAGGCCTACCCCAAAGTGGATTAGAAAGAGAGAAGCACAGTGAACTGCTTTTCAGGCACAGAAGCAGAACACTGGACTTGTGGTGAAATCCCACACACTCTCTCTCTCTCTCTCTCTATAGGACAGTATTTAAACACCAAAACTTCAATCCAGTGAGTTAGCTTCATGAGAGCCTGTGGGCAATAGTGTGCTCCATGTAACCTACTTCCTCTGTTTGAGAAAGGGAAATCTACTTCCCTTGTATAGTAACTGAAGTCTGAGATGTGTAGTCCCTATGTGAATTCCACTTGAGGTGCAATGGACTCCATGTGCCTGAGACTGGAAGATTTTTCATTAGCAGTGTTAGATGTGCCCTTTTCCTCCTTGGCCTCCCAGCCAAAGGTGTAAGGAGCAGGGCAGAATGGACCAAGTGCCTCTCCAATTCCTCATCTATCACAAATAATCTTAGGATAAGGATCTGAAGCAGAGGGCAAGGAGGGCAGTTAGTCGAATACAGATAGGGAATCACAGTCTTGATGAACTCCAGTTACTGTACAAGGTAAGTAACCATTCTTCCTTTGAGTGATAGTCCCTATGTGTTTTCCATTTGAGGTGACTCACCAGAAGTATTCATCAAGGAGGAGGGTGCAAGAAACTGATTGAAGGACTGATCTGCCAAAGGAGGCATCTGCTGTCAAAGCCTGCACCAGGGCATAACATCTCACAAATGAACACATGTAGCCTCCTGTTGTTGCTCTACAGACCTCTAGCAGAGGGATGTCTCACAGTGAAGCTACAGAGGCCACCGGAGCTATGCTCGAGCATGGGGGAGGGTCACTGCCAATTCATAGAAAAGCAGGATGGAGCCTGAAATCCACTTAGTCTGTGTGAGGGGACAGCTTTCACCTCTCGTACATTTGGTAAAGGAGACAAATGGTTTTTGGGATTTTCTGAAGGGTTTTGTCTTCTGTAGGTAGAAAGCCAAGACTCAGGCATCCAGAGAGTGGAATTTGCTGTCCTCTCTAGTGGCATGTAGCTTCATTTTTAATGCCTCCAACAATGAAAATGGTCATCAATTAGCACATTTCCTGCTGCAGATTTCTGCCTGTATTTCTGCCTTTTTTTAGAGCAACAGGCAGATTTTGCTATCTCAAGCCTGTCTCTAGCCTTCCCCTGCCTTGGTAGTAACTGGATCTGTGAGGTGTTTTCACTCCCTGGGCCCCTGGTACAACACTTTGCTATGGGGTTTCCCCATCAGGATAGCAAAGCAGCCAAGAAAGCACCACACTAAATCTAAGGAGACCTTTATACTGTGAGCCAGTTTTCTCTGGAATCTGAGAGCAAACCATGCCCCACTGCTATCAGCTGACACTTGTACCACCAGGATGTGAGACTCAAAACCAGACTAGCATGTTGGGGCATCACCCCACTTCAGTCAATGCAGCTGTGACGCCACCATGGAAAGGCAAGACAAAAAGCAGTAGACCTCCTCCTAGAGAGAGCCAGGGGAAGGAGAAAGATGGGGAGGAGGAGGACAACGACCTTACTGCAGCCAGCTCAAGAGGTAAATGATTAATGAACATATATGGGGTAATGAACTGAGCAATTGACTTATAGCTAACTGCTTTATATAATTTATATTTCCAAGTGTTCTGGTTTAAGGTGAAAGACCACAACCAATTCCTAGTACACTGGCTTTCCTCCACATATTACCTTCAGTTGTGGTGAAATAGTTTCTTTTTCTTTCACTGGGTCCATGGCATCTTGAAATATTCCACAGTATTGCAGATAAGCCGTGAAACTAGCATCCAGGTGTTCAGTTGTTTCTAGCTCCTGATTCAGTTTAGCTGCCAAATCTGAACTGGGATCTGAAAACAGACACAAAATAGTATTACAGATTAAACAAACGTGTTGTAGTGCAACCATAAAAGCAGTGGACACAAAAGAGTAGATTCCACAGTCAAAAGTTAGAGATGCAGTTGTAAGGGTCTATAGAAGAGATATGCCTTGAATGATTAATAACTACACATTCCTTCTGGCTCTCAATAATTAGAAAAGCTGTCCACTTCTGTTTATCCCAAAACAGAATCCACCTAAGAAGATAAGAAAATGGTTTGCATCACGTGAGATACTTTGTCTAAGGAACCTACAGATCAGCCAAAGTCAGGAGTTTCTCTCTCCAAAAATAGAAATAAAAATGGCTAAGTAAGAGTATTGTTAATCCTCTAGGCAAGAATCTCTCAATTTGCATATGGCTAAAACCCTCTAAACAGACCTCCAAGAAACCCTCCTGCTTTACTACGCAAAGTGGCCCACTGCACATTGTGAGTGGGATACCAGCCAATTAAGCAAACTAGATATGACTGGCTGTAAGACTGAAGGTCAAATTGGGCAAACTGCCGGTTACCCCAAGAAATCCAAACCACATGTCTTTACCCCAAATTACAAACTATACATGGTTTTCCTTGTAAATCAAATATACCACGAATAATCTGTCCTTCTCCCCAAAATAGAAGTGCACATTTGCTTGCCTTGTGAGTCAAATCTACATACTTCAGTATGTGGATGATATCTCTTGTTCTATTTTAAGTCATAAATAATGTGAAATGCTTATGCACAATCAAAGAATATATGGAGTATATCCTCCAAATTTAGAAGATAAGGGATTTTGTTGGTTTTCACTGTAAATAATTGTTGTATTCTAAAAGTATTAATTGTTTGATTCAAGGCAGAAGGAATGATGGAAGATATAAAAAACAGGGTATAACTTTGGAATATTAAGAGAAATTGCTTAAAAGGGGGGAATCCCAATTAATAGTAGGGTCTAACAATGAAATATAATCCTTGAAATGAATCAAATGTAAAAAGCCTCTGATAAGAAAAAGATCGGATTAAAGAAATTTGTGGTACATCAAAATCATCAACTGGATACCAATGGAAGCAATAGAGAAACTAAGAATATGTCTACACTGCAACATAAGCCCAGGGTTCACACTCCAGCTTTAGCCTAGCCTCCCTTCCATTCAGGTGTGGATAGTCCAAGCCTGAGTCAAGTCATGACCCAGTGTTCAAGCCCTACGGACCAACTTTCTTTGTCCTCTGGAAAGTCCCGTTTTTTCCAACTGCACCATGAACATAGGGTTAAAGTGGCCACATTTTGGGAGGATGCTAGGAAGTTTGGAATATGGGTGGTTGGACTTCTGCATGCATAGTGGAGTGTAGATGCTGGAGCTCCAGGTTGGGACCCGGGTTCAAAAATTCCTAACCTGGAGTTACAAATTAAGAGTATACACTCAAGCCCTAGGTTAACAAACCCCAGGGTCTGCTAACTTGAGTTCTAGTAACCCTGGGCTTATATTGCAGTGGAGATCCCTTCTGCGAGCTGAAATCTGAGTATGCACTTGACACATGTCCAACAGGAATCAGAGGGTGGACCCCTCCAACAAGATATGACACTATGGTACATAAACTGAAGTCATCATGCATTCAAGAGGGTTGACTGGACCCAACAAGAAGCTGCAGAATCCTAAGTATGACTGACACCTGGACCAGCCATGCGGAAAGAACTCTCCCCCATCGCAGGGTTAACAGGATAAGAAGTGGTGAGATTTCATTTTAAAGATTGTGTTTCCCCTTCTATAATAAAAATAACCGAAGGTTATCTTTCTGAGCACAGACTCGCTAATGAGACCTCAGGTACCCATAGTTTAGATCTTAACTCCTTTATAAGTCCAAGCAAATTGGCCTAGAAGATATTGAAAACAATACCTCTAAGCAATTGCTTTTAATATTCTAAACTTGTCCCTTTTGGACCAATCCAGTCAGAGTGATCACCTCCCGCTAAAAGCACCTAAAAAGACACGGGCTTCCTCAGAAGTGCGATACATGTGTTAGGAAGGGCAAATTGGCACTTACAAGTTAACTTATCAAGTAAACACAGAACTTTGTAGCATAGCTTGATTTCATTAACCT